TTTAGTTATTGGTCACTGAAATAGTAAAGGCGAACTGAGAGAAAAGTTATAAAAAGGATGAAATTCCTAAGATAGAAGTCTTTGGGAAAAGAAAGTACCTGATGGTCTCCCTCAGAACTAGAGTTAGTACTCTCTGGTCGATTTCGTGTAGGCTGTAAGACGTTTTCTTTTTCCACCAATGTAGGAGGCACAACAATAGAAGTGGTCTTCTTTGAGGAAGCCTCAGAGAGAGTTGACCTGGAGTTTTTGGCTTTTTTGGGAACAACAGGCGAAGGCGCATCGATAAATCGTTTCTCTTGACCAGTAGAGCATTTTCGTCTTTTTGGAGATGGCTCAAGAGGGACAACATCGTTAGCTTCACGGGCCTACGAGTGAGTTAACATAATCATTGCGTTAGAAGAGGAATGAAATCAGTAAATAAGCCATAAGGTCAGGAAATTACCTGAGAAGAAGTTTGAAGAACATCATTAGTGGAAGGAGAAATGGTCACACCACTGACAGCTTCCTTGGCATGTTTACTGTGTTCGACCGCTAAATGAGGCAATAACATAAGATAAAGCATTAAAGGTCAAACCATAAAGAAGCGAGCAAGCGAAAAAGAAGGTGACTAATAGTCAAAATAGTAAGTCATACCTTTCCTAAACTTTTGCTGCATAGCTTTAAAAGCATGGTTCAGTCGAGCCTTGAAAGACTTGAGAGTACCATTGCTTTGCATGAATTGCATTGTCCACCAATCACAGAAATCCTTAATGGTGTAGGAGATGGGTTCAAAGGCGACAAAATTCATGGTGGGGATATCAGTAGCAAAATGTTGGAGACGTTGAGCATATTCATCCTCACTATAGCTAGTGGACCAGGGACAAAGCTCATCAGAGGAATTATAAAAACTACGGGGTAGAGGTTGGCACAAACCAGCTTGTCTAGCCACCAAATTAGGCTGATAACACAGAATTGTTACGCCATAATTAGCTCCAACCCTAGATGAAATAAGCTTAGGGGTTAATAAAGATTTCCAGATGGCTTTGGATTCAGGGAGTTGCGTAGGATCGACAGGAGGAAATGTTTGAGTGAACCACTCAGGACCTTGTTGTCTGGAAGCAAAGGGGGTCATGCTCAGCTGAAAAGAAGTGCACCTAAAGAAAATTTTCAAGTATTTTTTGAGTGAATCCTCTTGAGTCATGTCATTGTTGGAGGGTGTTATTGCATCAAGACAAAGGCTTTCGTTATCACGCTGAGCGAATGCAGTTTCTTGTGCTTCAGAAAGTTGCAGTTTGAGTTGGCTCGAAAAAATGGCATTTAACCACAATTGAAGCATCTAAAAGGTCCAGCAAGTAGATAGTTGGTAGTAGGAGAGAGTGAGGTCATATGGTTGACTGCCACGCTAAGTGATTTATAGAGCGACCCCAAAATGAGTTCGCTCAAGCATATGTCTCGAACCAGATGGAGGTGGTGAGCTAATGCAATACATTGTTTATCTACCTTCAAAGATCGACTGCAAAAGATATACTTGGAAAGCCACAAAGCCAATAAAGTAATGTGATCTTCGTCAGACACGGTGTCAACATCTTTAGCATGAAAGCGCTCCATGTATTTGGTGAAGCCATCAATGTTCTTTTACAAAGGGATGACATTTTCGTCGGCTAAAGTAGGAAGAAAAGTTCAATTGTGGGATGAAGGCCAGTAATAAATGCAATGTCAAATAAGGTGGGGGTAAGCATACCAGTTGCAAAATGGAAGGTGTTTGTGGAGCCTTTCTAGAAATAAAGTGCATAAATCATCATATAATTGCAATAACTAGGACCAACCCTAGAAAGCTGAATCAAATCAAAAATGCCTTGATCTTTCCTAACATCACCTTTAACTTTCTCAACTTTGTTTAACCATGCAATGCAATCTTGGTTGACAACATGAGCAGAACGGAAAACCTTAGAAGTTCGGTAAATGTGTGAAAAATATTGGGGAAATCTCTATTAATGGGAGGTTTTGTGGCCTTATGAGTGGGGAAACAGCCTTCCGATTGTTTAGGTGCTCTAATTTCATCAGGACTAGGCCCCAAAAGAGCGTGATCGGTTTGCTTACATGTGAAAGGGAGCAACACTTGAGAACAAAAAGTTAGAAGGTTTCGTGACGACATTGGTTTCAAAACAAAAGTATTTTGGATATCAACGAAGAAATCATCCATGTGAGAGACCAGTTCAATTTTATCAGATGTTTGAATGTGTTCAGTAAGTTGGCTTGAAGTGGCCATGAGGATAAATGAAGGTTTTTCTGGAAAAAAATGGAAGCAAGAAGCTGTCTTTGAGATTGAAACAAAGAGTTTGAGAATGCAGAGAGAGCGTAAAAAGGAAATCGAAGAGATGGGAAAGGTATTTATACCATCAAAAAACCAAATGTTTGGGAAGAAAATGGGAAAGATTTGGCTACACGACCAACACGTGTCAAGAATATGGCGATTGATTGAAGAAGTTGTTGAGTTGGGGGACATTTATCCTAGGAAGTTGAAGCAAAAAAAGTAGGGTAGTGGTCGCTTGTTCGCATACGTGATGTTTGAGAGAAAACTCATGATTACGATGACGTTAGTTCGTACTAAGTAAGGACTAAAGTGTTCATTCTACCCCTTTTCAGTCGAAAATGACATTTTGGAGGGCAATTTGTTAGTTGGGATTCCCGTCAAGGACCAAAATCCAACCAAAAGAAAAGGATCAAAAAGGTTCTTTGGAAAAGGTGATTTATGTGATTCGACTACTAATGCAGTCGACCTAGAGAGATTCTATAAGTAAGTGATTGGGCCTGAAAACAGAAACAATCGACTAGGGAAGACCTCATAAGTCATTGGGCCTAGAAACATCAAAAGACCCAAAAGATCCATTAAGCGAGCGAAGCGTTTTGGAGGGAAACTTGAAGAATATGGGTTCGAGAGTATGAATGGAGAACGTGGGATCATGGAGAGGAGTTATAAGATACACATGGCGTACAAAGAAGTGAAGTATGCTAGAAAGTAGGTATTTTTTGTGTATTTTAAATAAAGCACTTAGTGCATAGTGTTAAGGGTTCAAACTTTCACATTCTCATACGCTAGTCACTCAGAATATCCAAACGAACGAGCGAAATGAGTCAAGCTAGGAAAATGTATGTTTGAATCAACTTATTTTAAACTATTTTGATGTTATGTCATTTATGTTTACAATTTAAAATACTTTTCGTTTTATTTTATAAGTCTTGCTTTATTGTTTATAAACTCGTTTGGCACCAGTCGAATGAATCCTTTTTTTAACACACTTTGTGAAAACACTCGAAAACTTAAGCATTGTATTGAGATTTTCTAATCGATCTTGCAAGTAAATTTTTATTAAGAGATCAACGTTGTTTACCGAAACCAAAAGTAAACATGTGATTTTTGGTTTTGTGTCGTGAATATCACGAAGTTATTAACTGTTTTTTTTTAGTGAATTTCTAATACATTAACATCTAGATCAATAACATATGATTCATTGAAGATGAGATTAACAATAATATTAGTGTACAATATATTTATAGTAATTGTAGATACAAAACTATAATCAAACAAATATTCACACGAGTCTAAAAAGATCCTTCATGTAGTGGTTTGAATGACTCCAAAATGATCCTTTCAAACAATATTGATATTACAAATAGCATAAAAAATACAAAATATGATTCATTGGAAAGAGATATATAAGATTCCGATATATAAGATTCCATCATAAAAGGAAACAATATTATAAAATAAAAACAATAAATTAAAAAACACTACTAAATCTTTAAAGTGTATTTGAATGAGATAATGGAAAGAAGTCAAAATTCTAAACAAATCAAATGATTCAATTGAAATTCATATATTTTTTAATTCTTTTGTTTTAATGGAGTATTAACATGATTCATTGTTAAATTTATGAGATTATTTTCAAAAAAATTTAAAAATTTGGATTGAATTTAAAATATAAAAAATAGAGATTAATTTGCAATTTTTAAAAAATTGAAAGAACTAATATGTAAAATTTGAAAGTTATTAGAAACTTATTTGCAATTATTTGAAAATTTTAGAAATAAATTTAAAATTTTCATAAAATATGAAAACCATCTTGCAAAATTTTAAAAATTAATAATAAATAATTTATCATTTGCATTATATAGAGTGAATGATCAATTTCAAATTCTTTATTTTTTGATATTATTTAAAATTCTTTAAATTAAATTTAAATAAAATACTTCACAAATTTACATCATTTTAACAATTTCCATTTTTTTATTCAAAAAATAAATTTTAGTCAAATCATTTTAAATTCTATAAAAAAAATTGGTTTTTCCATATGACAATGGATGTTTCCCAAAAACTATCCTAATGATATATGGTTTTTCATCCATAGCTCCCATTGTTGTAAATTGACAAATACACATCAAATTACAAAACATCATTTAACAAGAGTATATAAAATAGTACATCTCTCTTAATAACTTACGTTTATTCTCAAAAGGAAGCACTATATAGTCCTTTAAGCAGGTGGATATCACCATTTCTTTTGTAACTTGGATTATGTATTCTCGATAACACAATTTGTTTATATTGTCAAAAATATAGAGGAGTATATAATGTTTTAAAGTAACTTACTTACACAATACATTATTTTTCTGGTAGAAGCAAAAAAGAAAAGTATTATCATGGTAAAACCACAAAACAATACTAAACTAATCATCAATGATCAATCTCTTATATGCTTATACCAATTTACATACAATCACCATCAATAATCATGCATTATATATATATATATATATATATATATATATATATATATATATATATATATATATATATATATATATATATATATATATATATATATATATATATATATATATATATATATATATATATATATATATATATATATATATATATACGGGATGATATTATCATCACCTTTCAATCAAGATCGTTTGCTTTAAAATTGTTACAAACAAATGCAACCACGACACAGCTAGCAACTGTAATAATCCACGAGTTCATCCAATGATTCCGGTTGAGGATCAGTATTTTCAATCATCCACAACATATGTTCAAACAGGACAACCTCACATGCCACATTAACCGTATCATCCTCATCGTTTACCTTGACCGACCTGCGAGACCTGTCCACAAGCTCCTGAAATAGCGGGTGTCCAACAACATCAGAGTTAACAAGGTATCTACGCCTCGTCTTTCCAACAAACACGAGGCGAAGGCCTTGTTCTGATGACACACACGACTCGTCGTCGTTTACAACCGCTCTTATGTTAGAGCGGTTGTGCTTGTTGGTGTGGTTGTAATAGGTGAAGGTGTTCCATTTCTTCAGCACTGACTTGAGTTTTGTTAGTTTTGCAACTTTTGTCATGTTTGGGAGTTGAAGAAACAAAGATGAGAGATGAGAAGGTGAAGGGAAGGTTCGGTTTTGGGTGGTATAAAAGGATGGGAGAAGGTTGAAATTGTAATAAGCATCTAATTAAGAAAAAGAAAGTGGCCAAAACGATTGTTGAGTTTTTTTTGGAGTTTGGACTTTGGTGGGTAGGAATTTTGAACCGTTCTTTGCTTTGTCAACCTCTATGATTTTTTCTCTATTATTATTAGGTGTCTTTCGAGCTCTTTTGGAAGTTCTTTTATTAAGCTAATAATTGAATAATATTTATTTATTTATTAATTAATGTTTAAGTGAGGTGAATTTCGATACATAACAAATGCATACGATTTCAAAGTTAAAACTATTAGACATATATTTCTTTGTAAATTATTCCTTCCGTCTTATAATAAGTGACGTAATTCCCTATTTCACACGTATTAAGAAAAGTATAAAAAATTAAAAGAGATTAATATTTTTACTGTAGTACCCCTAATTATATATTGGAAATGATGAAAGTTTAACTAATTAGAAAGTAAAATTAGAAAAAGTGTATTGAAAATTGAAATAAGTCATTCCATTTCGGACAATATTTTATTCCAAATAGATCACTTATTATGGGACAGAGGGAATACTATAAGCCACACTTCTTAATTGACTATTGGATTACTCATGTCATTAAACCAGTGAAAATATGCATGAACTGATTAAAATTAAGATAGTTAAACGAATGGGTTATTAATTAGAATTAGGTTATTGGATCGATCATGTATTCAAACGAGTGGAAACCACGTGAATTGATCAAAATTGGGAAATCGATGAAATATAATATTATTGTAAATTTGAGTGAGTATTGTTTGTTCTTTTTTCTACATAAAAGTCAAAATTAACAGAGAAAAGTAAAATGTGAATCTGTTAAGAGAGGTAAGATGTTAGTTACAATAGATATTGTTAGTTGTAACTATCTCAGACTATTACTATAGACTGAGAAAAAGCAATGATAATAAAATCTTCATTCTCCATTATGGCATCAATCGCCTCCTGATCCATACACCTTCTTCTCTCAAATCAACAAAGCTTTAGAGAAGCTTCAATCCTTCATCAAGAAAGCTTCTAAGAAGCTTCATCTTCAACTAACCATCAAGAAAGCTTCAGAGAAGCTTCTACTTCGTTAACCGAATCGTCTTCACCCAAGTTTCAGAGAAGCTTCGCGTTCTTCATCACTTTCTTTGGTAACCTCCGTCGCAACAACTGATTCCATGGAAATAAACAGCAACCTGTTGACAAGCAATTTTCGACAATGGTTATCCCTCAATGGGATGCGTCGACCAAGTCAAAGAAGGATTAATCAAGAAGGCTGGTCGACGAAGACATCAGTCTCTGAAGTAGGCTCGACAGACATAAATGTCGACATGCAATGATAAATAGTGACAAGAGCAATTATCAACTCACAAGTCAGTAAGAATGTGGGGATATTTCAAAATAATTTATGGCAGTTCTCCATGAATCCCAACGTGGGACTAGTAATCGTTGATGATTACACTTTTAGAATTTCTATTTAAGCAAACATTTATATTTGTGTTAAAGGTCGCATTTCTTCACATTTAAAGCATTATACTCAAAGTACCCGCATCTAAGAGAGAAACAAGTTCAGGCTTGACAATGTATGAATGCTTCCACATTTCAATTCAAAGAAATTTCAAGTTTTCACTTTAAATTACAAGTCTTGTCATCTATTTTCTTTACTTTGCAATTGTCCTTTAATTTTTCCCTTTTGATACTTATGAATCCTACATTAACGAGTTTTCAACCTAAGACACTCAAAACACTAAGTCTAGGATTATTGTAGTCGATCCTGCAAGTAACCTTTAATAAGAGGCTAGAGATTATTCGCGAGAAACAAATTGACATGCCCAGTGAGACCCGTTGTGTTTGAGTCTTTCTTGTTTCGTGTATGAAATTGAGAAGTGGGAGAAAATGGTAGATCCTAGAACTCCTGAAAGGGATCAAGTCCCAGGAGGAAATACCAGTGTAGCGGCGAGTGTGAGTTCAAGTTCGGTTGTTGTGTCTTCAACTGCCCCGAACATAGTCACCACGACTCAGCCAGTAACTGCAAGATCAACAATGGTCACAACTTCTGGGAAGTATGTATCTAGTTTCACAAGAGAAACATACAGTGGTGTGGTCCCAACTTCTGGGAAATATGTGCCTAGTTTTGCAACAGATAAGCATAATGTTGAACACGAATACAGAATGCCAACAACGATGATGGAAGGCCTACATAGTAGTAGTTCGAAATTTGATGAAAACTATGTGTCTATGTGTTCCTCGTATCATGCCTCAGGGCCTTTGGGAAATCAGTTTGGTTGTTCGACTGGTTTGGGATTTTCCCAGCAAATGATGCCTACTTTCACCCCAAGTACTGTTGCCATCATGAGGCAGCACATGGATGAAAGTAATCATGAGATGGTCAATATGCTTAATCAACAAATGAGTGTCATATTAAGACCATTGATCGAGAATTCGGTGCAGAGTTATCAGACTTTAGCAACGCAAATGACTCACATCGGTGATTTCCATGGTGCCCTAAGAGCGCTAGTTCGACAAGCTACACCGCCCCCATATGAGGAACCAGTGTCGTATGAAGAGGTGGTCGATGAAATAGTTGGATGAGAACCACTGATTTCTCAGTGTGTCAATTCGATACATAAAGTGTTACAACAAACCCCAATAATAATGGATCGAAACTAGAATGCCGACCAAGTGGTCAGGCATGTTCGACGAGAAACAATGGTCGGGGAACAAAACCTAGAAGCCATTGTTGAAAGAATTATGGTTAGGAATGGAATGAATATTGGGTGTTAGAGGACTACGCATGTCTCACCATTGCCATATTTCGTTTTACAAACGGAGTTACCAAGAGGGTGGAAACTACCAAAATTCACTAAGTTCGTAGGGGATGTCGAAGAATCCACTGTCGAACATGTTGCTAGGTACCAAACTGATCTTGGAGACTTAGTAGTGAATGAGGATTTGAGGATGAAGTATTTTCCCAATTCCCTTACAAAGAACGCGTTTACTTGGTTAACGATGCTTCCCCCACAGTCGGTCCAAACATGGATTCAGTTGGAGAAATTGTTTCATGAACAATTTCACACGGGGAAATCCAAAATAATCCTAATAGAATTGTCCAATGTTAAACGAAAAAACAGAGTCGATAGACCAATACCTTAACAAGTTTAGACTTATGAAAGCATGATGCTTTACATAAGCCCCTGAACATGAGTTGGTCGAAATGGCTGCAAATGGATTGAAGTATTCTCTTAGAAAGAAGTTGTTAGATACTCAGTCTTTGAAGGATATGGCTCAGTTGGCTATCAAAGTTCGACTGATCGAACGTTTGAAAGCTGAGAAAACCAAGCCGAATAAGCACCACAAAAAAGGGAAAGTTTCATACATAGCAACTGATGAGTCTTCTTCTGACGAAGAAGAGTCGGGGGAAGAAATAGAGGTTAATATGGCTGAACTCCAGCCTGGACCTCCTTATGCGTGTAAGCTATTTAATCCTTCAAACACGGGAAAAACCCTATCGAAACCGAAAAGAATGGAAAAGCCATCACCAAAACATACACTTTTGACATAATTAATATGATGAAATATTTGATTTGTTAGTGGGTGATGGTCATATTGTGGTCCCTCAGGGCCTGAAGAATCACCCACTTGAACAAAAGAAGAAAAAGGGATTCTATAAATTTCATAATTTTCTTGGTCATAAAACTTCTCAATGTGTTCTTTTCAGGGATTTGGTGCAGAAATATTTGAAAGAAGGCAAGCTTTAATTTGGCGAAAAGCCAAATATGCTGGTCGACACTGGTCCTTTGAAGGTGGATGAGGCTTTATACTCAAATCCTCTGGATTGTATTATGATTGAAGCTGCTGAGGGCCTCGATAAAGAAGTCATAATGATTTGTGACATAGAAGTTATGATGGTTGGAACTAATGAATGTTTTGACATAAAGATGGAAGAGGGATTACAGGCAGTATACCCTCAGCCTTAGGAAAGCTTGGCTGACTTTCAGGAAAAATGTAGAGTTAAAGGATTTAAGGCCAAATTATGCCCAAGATGCAATGTTGTGTATGATGAAGAAGTAGCCGAGAAATATGAAGCTATAAAAAAAGAGGCTCTCAGACAAGAGAAGCCTCCAGTTCCAAGGTTTGTTTTCGACTAAGACGGAAATCCTCGATGCAACAAATAGTACAGAAGATTGTTCCAACAACATTGTCTGAAAACCATTCATCCTCCACCGAACACCCCACAAGAAAAATGGGTGGAACCGGTGAGCTAAAAGGGGGGGAAAAGGTAGAAGTGGAAGTTGATTGTGCATGAGGCTGAGGCCCGACAAAAGAAGGTTGCGTCGAAGGGTTATCAAGTTTCTCCTAATTATAAGGGGGGAAATCTAATGACAAGAATGCATTGGAGGCGTTATCAGAGGAATAATAAAGCTGTAAAGGAGGCCTTAACTTCCCAGTCAAAAGCTGGTGAAGCGATTAGGCATGTCGAAAGCATGCAACCAACGAAGGTTGCAAATATTGGTGGAGATCCAGTTCAGAAAGGATTCTATCCAGGTCAAAGTTTACTGAAAATGAGAAGATCACAACCAACCAAAGGCTGGCTATTAAGGTAGCTCCTTTAGGTAACAAAGAGCTGGTGGTAACATAAAATGTTGGATATACTCTTATACTTGAGTATAATCCTACATCTGAGGGTGAAGAGGAGAAAGAGCCTGATTATGAACCTTCGCCAGAAGATGATATAGTGGATGATGATTATGGTGAAGACTTCATTATTAATTGTGTAATTGTGTCGATTCTGCCTGAAGAATATGACAAAGTGTCAGATGTATCAGAAAACAAAGAATATTTCACTTCCGATGAGGCGACTGATGAAAAGCCCCTGTGCTACTATGTTATGAATATTGGTGTTGTCGAAGAACAAAAGGATGTGTTTGAAAAACCAAGCCCAGGGATGTTGTATTATCTTAAGCCTTTGTTTATAAGGGAAAAGGTAGATGGTATACCGGTGAAAAAAGTATCTGTCGATGGAGGGGCGGCTATGAACTAAATGCCACATGCTCTGTTCAAGAAAATGGGAAAGTGTGGGTCAGATCTTCGACATCATACATGGTTTTGTCCAACTATGAGGGGAAAACCAATAGTATACTTGGGGTCATCCAGGTCAGATTGGCTGTTGGAACAACCACTAGGTCAACTTTGTTCATGGTAATAAATTCCAAAGCAAACTTCAATTTATTACATGGCTGTGAATGGATTCATGGAATAGGTGCAGTATCTGTTTCCAGTGATTTCTGGTAAACAACCGCTAGTCTTCCAAACTATCGAATAAACTTACTGATTGTTATTCAATTTCTCTGGTAACTCGCAGGATCGACTAGATTGATCCTAGGACTTATTGGTCATTAGGGTAACTCTCATGATCGAACAAATATTCATGGTTGGTATTTAGAGTGTTGTGTAGGTGTTTGACTTATTTCGATTTCTCTCTTAAAGATCTAAAGGTGTAATCAAAATATATGTGCGCGAAACTAAATTGCATGAATAAATGTTAATTGTAGAGACATGTAAAATTGCATAAAAGGCAAGTAAATGGCTTCAAATTATAAAAACAATTAATGTAAAAGATGCTCTGGAATGTAAAAGATTCGAAATATTAAGAAAGTGTTTAATGCAAGAAATCTGTAAAATGACTTTAAGTAAAAATAGGCGTTCGAAAGATAAAACTTGAAGATAAAGGCATGAAAAGTATGACAGTTTTCTGAAATGTAAAGTGTTTGAAATGTAAAGAAAGCATTAAAATGTAAGGCTTCAATGAAAAGATTTCGAATAAAAAGACTTTAAATGAGAAAACTTGTAAATGGAATTTGGCAGAAAGATAAAGGAAAGTATTGGAAATGATAAAAGGTTTTCATTAAATCATAAACATGTGGTGCTATCATACGTACATTGCTCTTGCATTCGTTTCCCTAGCCATGTGGTAATTTGAATGTTTACTGAGTATTTAGTACAATAGATATGACACACGAAATCCTAATACTAAGACTTCTATTTATACTACTTCGACCATAACGGTCTTGCTATAGGATTATGCCACGTTCAGAACATGCAGAACAATGCCTCTCTCTTGTTTCCACGTGTCTCCAAATACTCCAGCACATAAATTTCAAACTTCGAATGTCCCGCTTGCATTTGAATTTCAAATGTTTTGGTACTTCTCCGCTTCGAACGCACTTCTCAGACACAACCTTGTTGTCATTTTGAGACTTCTTTAGATATGTTCCTATAATTGCCACTCGAAGCTCCAAGCTTTGATATGCTTATTTGAAACATTGCTTCTGCTATTTCGAAACATGACGCTTTGTTTCATTTCGATCGAAACGTTCAATTCACTTGGCTTCTAATAATATTATCAAAATCTTCAGCCAACAGTATCGTCGACTTTGCACCAAAAGATATCCATTTGGAGGAAAGATGGCATGGTGGAAAATATAGAGGTTGATCAGAGCTACTATAAGGTCGATAAAGTTAAAGGTGGAAAGAAATCTTTCTAACAACAGTTGGCGAATGTGGAGCCTTGTCATGATGACAATTACACTCCTAATGAAAGCTCAAATAGTTTTCTAATTTGGATCCTGATCGTGGTTTTATGTGGGATTCTGAAGAGGCGGTAGTTCTTAGGGAGTCGATTCCACCTACAGGGTGGCCTATAGTTGATAATAATGACCGGTGAGCTAGAAAGTCTGACTCAAATTTAGGCTTATGTGGCTGAAAACAAAATGAAATTGGCTTGGAAGCTGAAAAACTGTGGAGTATAGTTGTCGAAACCAAACCAGCATATCAAGAAAAAGGCCAACAAGGCCAAACAACAGTTTCAGAAAGTTGGAGGTTATATTGTATCTATGACAATGAACCTTTGGGACTTTAAAAAGATCCATTGAATTCAATACTGAAGATGCAAGCCCAAGATCCATTGGAGGAAGTTGATCTGGGAGACGGTGTAACAAAGAGAGAAACTTACATCATCACCAAAGTTGGGTCGAAAATGAATGTCAAGCTGATCAAGCTGTTGAAAGAGTACAGAGACTTCTTCGCCTGGGATTACGTTGAGATTCCTGGATTAAGTCCGAATATAGTGGAACATCGCTTACCTATTCAGCCAGGAAAGAGGCCAGTAAAGCAGCATCCTAGGAGGTTAGCTCTTGAGATTACCTTAAAGATCAAACAAGATATTGAAAGTCTGCTCAAAAGCAAGTTTATCATGACTGCAAAGTGCCCCTATTTAAATATCTTCAACTAGGTGATATAAAGATGATCAGGCTTCATATAATCGTAGTGGAAGATAGTTAAATACCAAAGAACCCAAAATTTTACCCTAAGATGCAATGGGTATGTCGTGACTGAAATGTGACGAGAATGCAATGGATGCAAGACTCTTTTTATATTTTTTTTAATGATGAATATTATGAGACAGACTCTGCAGGAATTATTCAAAAGACACGAAATTTGAAATTTATGGTAGTTGAATGATATGACATAGAAGGACACGATAGGGAATACAAGATATTCTGGATATCCGTCAGAGTGACAAGGAGTAACCAGTAATACTTGAGAATATTATACCCCAATTCTTGCCCCTAAGATTTCATATCATCTCATGTCACAATGCATCAAGATCACACATTAGGACTGGTTCTCTCTTTCTACTTTATCCTATCTTTAAGTTTGCTCTTGAGAGATTACCAAGCACCTTGAATTATGTATCTTGTGCATGTGTTCTTTTAACTAACATTAATATGTATATATATGTTCCTTTGAATGTTCATATTGTAGGTGATTACAATTGCATTCATCTCAACATCTAATATAGGGTTTGGGGGGTGATTCTCAATCAAATGGTTCTCTAATAGATTGCAAGAGCTCAACCTTCAAGGTCATGCCTATGTCATCAAATATTTGTGGTTCAAGGATCACTCTCACTTTATTTAAGTCAATATCTCCTTAAAATTGGTGGTGGCATTCATTAAAAAGATTCATATGTTCATGTGTTTATTTCCATGCCTTATTTAACAAGCTTCATTGAGACTTAAGCTCCATCTTTGAGTGTGTTTCAAGACAATATTATTTCAAGGCCTCTTATGATTCATCATGCTTATTTTGCAAAAAAAAAGTCCAAAAATATCCAAGGTTGATTCAACAAGTTTGACCTAATTGAGCAAATACTTGATTTAGTGATCATAAGTGCACAACTCTCTCAATTTTTAAAATCTGGAGTTGGTTATTTTTGATATGGAATCTTCTCATTATCAACAACAACCTCTATTGACATGACAAGATCCAATTATGCAATAAAAATCATCAAAAGTTGAAAAGGGTTTCAAGTCATTTTGACACTCTCAAAGTTAGGGTTTGTTGACTTCAAAGGGCCATATCTTGCTCATTTTTTGAGATTTTTGATTGATTCAAAAGTTATGATTCTCTTTAAAGGGTCCTTAACAAACTCTCTTCAAAAATCTAAAGCTAATTTTGAATGAAAGATCACTAAAAGTTGATAAAGATTACAAGCCTCCTTGAAGAGCCTTTGAATTTTAGGGTTTGACTTCAAATGATCATAACTTGGTCAATTTTTATCTCCTTGAGCCCATTCTTTTTCCATAATAATCTTTGGGATGTCTAATACAACTTTGTTTTTATGTGTGTTTTAACTGGCAAAAAAATAACGAGTCTCCACCACTACTTTTTGTCCTAACGACGGGTGAATATTGGAATAACCTTAATTGTACAGAGATTCTAAGTTCTTGATTCACTTTATATGAAGGGAAGGTGTTAGGAACCTTTCATCTACCTTGTTCACAAGGATACTAGGGTTTAGGTTAAATGTTTAGGAATAGGGTTTTAATTTTTTAGTTAGGAGAACTCGCTACGGTTTTTAAGTTGTATGCCTACGTATCCTCTTATGAGGAATCAGAGTCCCAATTCGTAGTTCGTAGTGTTTGGTTAGTTTTTTTTTATGGATTGTAGAAACATCTCGAATTCCCCTTGAATCAAGTATGAGTTTGTGAATAGCAGAATCATAGACGTAGTTCGCAGTCGATAAAAGAAGTTTCCACGATCCTTTTTTTGAAAATAAATTTGAATTTGAATTAAGTTAGTAAAAAGATGTTAGTAGTTGATTGATTAGATATTTTTTAGTACTATATGCAATATAAGAAAACAAATTTAATGCATGAAAAAAAAGAATTTAATGCAATTAAAGTATTAAAAATTAGTTAGTATTTAAAAAAAAATTTAAATTAATAAAATAAACAAATTTAGAATTTATTAAAATAAATATTTTAAATATTAAAAATATTAATCTATAATATAAGAAAACTCATTCTAGCTATTCTTCCTATTTTATACTTTTGTTCAAAAAAACACAACACATGACTTCATTTGCGTGAGACAAATGAAATATTTGTTCTAAACCTAAATTTTGTTTTGAAATTCCAAAATGAAATTGAACGGTTTCACACAAGTTTCACTCTCCAAACTTCTTTCATTTCATCTTCCTCAATTTATTTCTTTCTCTCTCTCTCATCCTTTCTTTGTTTCTCTCTATCGTTCTGCTTCGTTCTTCCTCCTCATCTTCCTTCTTCCTCTTGATCTGCATCGTTTTTCCTCCAATACATCCTCCATATTCCACTCGGCAACAATTCCAAAAACATCAAATCTTCATACAAAGCAATTCCACAAAAAGAAATTCGCTGATTCCTATCATTCTGCGAATTTCTGCACCTTCATCAATGAAGTCTATGAGGTGGGTTTGTTTTTGGATATCTACAATTTAATGGTTAAAAAATTTATAGTTTCAGGTTTTCTAACTATTGTAGTTCAGGTGCTCAGTGATCCAGTTCAACGTACGGTTTACGATGATATTCATGGGTATTCTCTGACATTAATTAATCCGTTCGTAGATGATTCTACTCCAAAGGATCATATTTTTTTCAATGAGTTCAGCTACATAGGTATTTTTGTATCACTCTTACAATGATGCCTTGCATGTTATTTTAATTAATAGTTCTATTACGTTTATGTTGGTGTAACTAATTGTAAGGTGTGTTATGTAATTGTACTTCAAAATTCTTGAACATGCTGCAAAAATTGTGCTAATGTGGCCTGTGAGGTGTTTGCAATTGAAGAAGACTTTGGAAGAGCCAGAGTATACTGTTAGTTCGGGAACCCTGATTTACTTCAACAACCTATTGGTAGTTGGTATTTCTTTATTCTATCGTATGAGCATTACTTTAAGACTTCATTTTGTTGTGTTTTTTCTGCAAATAGGTTTCAATTTTACATTAATCACAATTATCTATTCCTGATTCGGCACGAAAACAACATTGTTTATGAAGAAACTGATCTAATGGAGATTTCTGAGATTAATTTAACATTTATTTTTGCATTTTAGTATTGTTGACTGCATTCATTGGACATCACCTGCACAATTATTATTACTTGAAGATGAAACGCGCCGCATAGAAAGAGTCAATGTAATTCCAAATTCTATTTCTTCCTTTTTTATTGTATTTCTTAATTAAATGATACTTTAGATAATCATTTGGATAAAGTTGAGGCAACTTTTTTCTTTTCTCTGCATGGTATAAGTCATGACCCTATCACTAAATGAATCTAGCTAAGCTTTTTGTATAAAATTAATATAACTACAGAGCTTCTTGAATTCGAGCAGGTCGCTCTGATGCTTTCAGGATTGGGATTAGCTTTAAGCGATGTTTTCATAATGGTAATAACATAGAGATTACTCAGTCATTTATATTTGTTATTTATGTATTGTTTCCTCGAACATGATCTAACCATACTATAATAATATGACAGGCGAATACCCGATGGCAAAAAGGCAGTTAAACTTCTTGGTAAGAACTCACCCTTTTTTTATAAGACAACAATATTTGGAGGCTCTACAGGTTAAGATAACTCAACATTTCCAAACTCTTCGAAAGTTCTGAGTTCTTAGGTTTCGACAAAGCTGCTTAAATACAAACGTTTTGAATACTAATTTTACATAAATGAGGGATGTCTTAAAATAATGGACCAAACAACACCAACTCGGTTCCAAAATAATCATACGAAATGTCATCACTTCGAAGGTCGCAACTTTTAACCGTTCATGAATTCTAATTTTCTAATTTTTGATTTCTACTTTATTGTATACTAATCTAAACTCCATTGACAGCAAATTGGAGGTAAGTGTTCATCTTCTTCATTCAATATGAAGTTACTCATGCGATATCTTGCTTACAAGTCGTCGAGGTGAGAGCTGCTGTTGCAGAAGGTAGAACTGTCGTATAAAAAGTTGTCGAGGTGAGAGAATTATATCTTTAAAATTGTGGTTTGGAAAACTGATTTCAGTATGTTTGCTTACAAGTCGTCGAGGTGAGTTACAAATATTAATATATCCTTTTATTTTGGTATGTTTGTTTATTTTTGAAAGAGTTACAAGCTGATGATAAGTAGTTGATTATCAGTAACTTTTATGTATTTATAGTGAAGTTTCATGTATATTATTTAGGTTGGAGATAATGTGTTTCCTGATTAGCCTTTTGCAATTTTTGAGTTAATCTTCGTAAACTATATACATGCAGTTAGAAATTTCGATGGGGATATTGATTGTGAATGGTGAAATTCTTCTATGTACATTTTGATGGGTTGTGATGCTTAAATTCCATGCATTTATTTTATTGTGATCATTATTTTGAAAGCTGTGACATTCTGGAGACGCCGATTTATTCTTGTATCGTGGATCTAAGTTTCGAACTTATTGTGCTAAGTATAAGTGTAAAAACGCAAACTGGTTCTCTGTAGTCTGTAGTCCATTAGCTCAACGTGAGTCTTCATTTTTAAATAAATGCATAAGTGTGAACATTATGATGTTTTTCATATATCGGATTGTGCTTACCACTTATGTGAACTAAATAAATTGTTACATATCTCTCTCTAATCCTAGACTGCAATGATTGGTACTGTATATCTACCTCACATTTATGAAACTTTGAGGTTTGTGACCAACGCAATGTTGTTAAATATCCGGTATACCGCCAGTATACCGGTATTGCGTATCGGAATTTTGGCTATCCGATACGAAAGTCAGTAGAACATTTCAATTATATGATGCTTGTGATATCGGCGATTTTCCGATATACCGGTATACCAGTTATGAATGGAATATTGGAAGCCATATTTTTATTGTAAATCTTTATACCGGTATACCAAGTCTGTAGAATAAGTATATACTAATTCGGGTAGAGTGATGCTTACCTTTCCAGCCACATATGTCATATTTCTTTTGACATTGAATTTGATAAGTACTTTGAAAAGGACCTCTGCTACAAGTACTTTGAATTGGACTCAGAGAAAAACTGCCATGAAAAACAATAATTAGTGAAAAAAGATCGTGGAATAATGGTGATTGTTGGTTTAGGCATAAAAAGTTTACAATTTATTATGTATATACAACCAAACATTATGCTATTGTGATATTGATCTTTCAAAAATATTGTATAGATTTACATATTCTTGATTATATCTGTGTTTCAAATTCCTTTGCTATATTTGTAGGAATTTAAAGCATATTTCTTTGTTGCTGATTTTATAAGTTTTTCTTCAGTCTAAATCAAACAATCATTTTCCTCATTTGGCATATTAAATCTCTTTATTGAGAAAACCAACAACTTCATCAAATATAGTGCATGTATCACTTCCTCAACTGTTTAAGCATATATTATCTTGTAACAGAAATCCAACTGACACTGCAATTCGGCAATGATAGAGTACTTATGCTTCTAATCGCCATGTTTTCCCTTGTAATCCAAATGACACCATACAATGCAGAAGTTTTGTTTTATGCATAAGAATTTTGCAAGGTTTTTGTAGTTTTTGTTTTGAAATCTCATTATCCACTTTATGACCTGATATATGCTTGAGTTTGATGAGCAAAAAAAAAAAAATACATATATTGATGATATATGCTTTAGTATATATATATATATATATATATATATATATATATATATATATATATATATATATATATATATATATATATATATATATATATATATATATATATATATATATATATATATATATATATATATATATATATATATATATATATATATATATATATATATATATATATATATATATATATATATATATATATATATATATATATATATATATATATATATATATATATATATATATATATATATATATATATTTGGAATCTACGGGTAACACACTAATACTGTGTGAATGTACATGTTACCAGGCCAAAAATCGTGTGAACACATGAGTTATTATATTTTTTTGTAAAATTAAAGAAACTAAAAATAAAAATATTTAAAATAATGTATGGATCCAAATAAGACAAAAATATATTAATTTTTAATTACTTATTATAAATTGTTTCAACTTATATAATAATCTTAGACATTTTTATTTTCCTTTTTTAGAATTAAATTTATTTAATTTCTAACTTATTTAAATTTCATAATCAAATACGTGACAAATTTCTGTTCCACACCCGTACCCGTGCGGACGTACGAGTAATCTGATCAAAATTCGTGTGAACACACGGGTAACACACAATAAATGTGAATGCACGTGTAATTAGGCAAAAATCAATGTGAACACACGGGTATCTAATATAATTATTTGGAAATTATTTTTAATTTAAAATACAATAATTTTTAAAATAATCAAAACTATTGAATATTAACGAGGAAAAAGTTACTGATTAAAATATTTAATATTAATGGGAATATGAAGTTACTGATCAAAATATTGAATATCAACGGGTTACCCGTCAAAATATTGAATATTAACGGGAATATAAAGTTATGGACCAAAATATTGAATATTAACGGAAATATGAAGTTAATGATCAAAATATTGAATATTAACGGAAAAATAAAAATACTGATCAAAATATTGAATATTAACGAGAACATAAAGTTACCCATGAAAATATTGACTATTAAAGGGAACATGAAATTATTGATAAATTTTTTGAATATTAACGCAAACATAAAGTTAGCGATAAAAAATTGAATAATAATAAAACAACTTTACTATTGGTTTAATTATTTTCGACAATAATTTCAAAACAAAAATAATATTTATATATATACTAACCAAACATGTTCACAATTTACTTAAAAGTAATAGTGCTTACATTAATATACTAAATAAACTATTACAACTTAATTTCATAATTTTGACCCACAATACAATCCAGCATATTAAAACAGTTTTAATATTAGAATGAATTACTATTTCTATTTTTATATTTCTATTTTATTTTTATCAAAAAAAGTTTAATATATAAAAAATTGTTATAAATGAAATCATTTTTTCATTTTACTTAAATAAAAAATATATATATATATATTATATTTAACTATACAATAATGTTAATATTGAATAAAATGAGAGGGACCTGTACGAAAGTACATGTATCACACTCATTATAATATAAAATAAAATAAATAAATGAAATATAAAATCTATTATCAATTATCAATCTATTAAAAGTAAAGTATCTGGAAATTCCAAGTCTAACATTTTGATTAGATGTTATAACTTTTCTTATTCCAAGGGTATAATAGACTAATCAACACTATGCTGTTACCATATTCATTTGACATTTAATTTTGCTGACATGTCAATCTATCATAATTTTACACTATTTTTTATTTATTTGATTTATTAATTTATTTTATTTATATTTGAATTTTATTTATATTTGAATTCCAATTCCAATGTTTCATTCACAGTTAATTTATTTATATTTGAATTCCAATGTTTTTTTTGACAGAATTTGAATTCTAATGACTCACGGTTAATGAGGAAAGAATTGGAATGGCCAAATTAGATCTATTATAATTAAATGGAATATTATTCATTGCATGATTTAAAAATACCCACTATTTATCATTACACTACAAGATTAAATGTATATTATTGGAATTAGAATGGATTATTTTGATATTCCAATATATCACAACTTCTCATGCATTCTAAACCCTATATATAGCCATTCTAAACCCTTACTCTTTCACTCCTCATTCTTCTTAATTCTCCATTATTTTCAAAAGGTTACGTATTATTTTCCAATTCTTCTTCATTCCCATATTTTGATTCTCTGTGTCCATTTTAATACAGATTTTGTAACAGGTCTAAATAGTAACATCAATGGCGCGACCGATTGAAGTTGTGAAAGACATCAACGACTCAAACATTTAATTTTGCTGACATGTCAATCTATCATAATTTTACACTATTTTTTTATTTATTTGATTTATTAATTTATTTTATTTATATTTGAATTTTATTTATATTTGAATTCCAATTCCAATGTTTCATTCTGAATTCTAATGTTTGACTCACGGTTAATGAGGAAGGAATTAACTGAAATATTATTCATTGCATAATTTAAAAATATCCACTATTTATTATTACACTACAAGATTAAATGTATATTATTGGAATTATAATGGATTATTTTGATATTCCAAGATATCACAACTTCCGTCTAAATAGTAACATCAATGGCGCCACCGATTGAAGCTGTGAAAGACATCAACGACTCAAACATTTAATTTTGCTGACATGTCAATCTATCATAATTTTACACTATTTTTTATTTATTTGATTTATTAATTTATTTTATTTATATTTGAATTATATTTATATTTGAATTCCAATTCCAATGTTTCATTCACGGTTAATTTATTTATATTTGAATTTCAATTCCAATGTTTCATTCACGGTTTATTTATTTATATCTATTCCTCTCATTTGTTGTTTATGTTTTTTTAGATGCACTATCTATTTTTTGTAAATTTAGAATACAATGAATCAGTTGTACAAAGTGTGTTGTAAATACAAATTAAAGAGAATGTATATATGATGAAGGTTCAAAAGGTCTGTCCCTGGGAATATGGAAAAGTACATTTGAGTTTAAAATAATTATGATTTATGATTATAAGTATCTTAAAATCATATAAATTATGATTAATGATTTATTGCAAAATGATAAAATAATTTTCAAAAAAATAAATATTCTAAAATGAGTAATGATTAACTTGAAATTAAATATATAAAGTGAATCATTAAAATCGATAAAATTTTCTATCATTTTAAAACAAATTTATTAAAAAAACATTAGCAAAATTGTGATTTGTTTAAAATTTTAAGTAAGTATTATTATAGTTTAAATAATATTTGTTAGTAAAATATATTAAAAAT